AAAAAAAAAAACAACGGGGCCTTATGGTCCCGGCTCCATTCTATTCTGGGGAGCGTCAGTCCGGTTCCTATTCCACCGGCAAGTCAAGAGATAATACATCATTGGGACTCACGCACGCATCCTTCCGTCTGGCCGAAGGACCCCTGGACAGCATTGATTGCTCCATCTCAGTGGAGGATTGACTGCCAGCTTGCCCATTCTCTCTCTTTCCTCTCAGACCCAAAGTTTAGGTCTGCCAGATGCCATCATTTAACCGAGAAAGAGTCTGCTAGAGAGAGCCCATTCCCTCTCTTTCCTCTATTGTCATCATCAATCCGAGTCCTTTCCACTCCACCTGTCTTTCCTTTTGCCTGAGCAACCCCTAAAACCCTAAACCCTGAAACCTCGTACTTTGTATCAGCTCCGGTATATCATCCTTACTTCTGGCCCTGTATCTTGTTGCAATCTCCTTCCCGCGGCATCTCGTCTCCTTGCAATTATGTCGTTTGTTACCTGACCCGTGACTTCCTTACCCAACCAGACATTATATTTCTGAGAATTTTTGTAAGTGCAGTCATGTTTCTTGTTAAACCACCAGTACTTGGCCCAGCTATTGAAGCCGAGCCTGAATATGCCCTGCGCGCCGATTTTTGCCGAGCATGCCAGGGGCGGGAACGCCGGGAACGCCGGGAACCAACATGGGACATTTGATGCTTGGCACAGGTATCGCCCTTATTCTGGACCTGCTGCCAGCAGCTGGAATGTAAAGCGGGGATAGTTTTCTTGTTTCCACTCCTGCAGTGCATCCAGATCCGTCCGGAAAGATCTCGTTGAATGCTCCCTGCCAGAAGCACAAACAGCCGAGAATATTGAAAAGGAAAAAAAAAAAAAAAAAGCCAAAGGGGAAAAGAGGTACCAAGCTCTGAACGTGATTGTCCTCAGATACATCCGCTGCTGCAGCGAAGTGCAGCCAGATACATTCTGGAAAGTGCTACGTCACAGTGAAGGCCTGGGGCGTGGTCCCACTAGCAAAGAGGATCGGATCGAATGCCTGAATCTGGACGAGTTTATGGAGATGTGCAGGAAATCGAGATTGAGCTGCTTTTCTGCATCTCTGCTTAAAACACATCCAGATTCAGGAGCTCGATCCTATCCTTTTTGCTAGTGGGACCTCGGCCCTGGAGTTGAAACGGTTGGCACGCATTGAATGCTGCTCAAAAGCACAAACAGCCGAGATACTGCTTCCAAAAAAGAAAAAAAAGAAAGGGGAAAAGAGAAAGCAAGCTCTGAATGTGATTGCCCTCAGATACATCCTCTGCTGCACGAATGTGCAGCCAGATACATTCTGCCAAAGTAAAGGCAGATACATTCTGGAAAGTGCTAGGTCACAGTGAAGCTGTGGACTTCGAACCGTTCTCAAGCATTGAATGCTCCCCGTGTCTCACGGGGAGCAGAAGCACAAACAGCTGAGATACTGCTTCCAAAAAAAAAAAAAAAAAAAAAAAAAAAAAAGGGCAAAAGAGAGACCATGCTCTGAACGTGATTGCCCTCGGATTCATCCACTGTGCCCACAAGTGCAGCCGGATACATTCAAAAAAGTGCTAACATTACACGGCTGGCCCACACTCGTGAAAAACCAGTTTTCTTCCAAAAAAAAAAAGGAACAAAGAAAAGCAACGATCGTCTTCTTCTCATGTTGCAGTTCCTTTTCTTTTCTCTTTACCCCCTTGTCGCCTTCAGCCTCCGATCGTTTCCACATAGCGCAGCACCAGGACATCTTACAGTCCATTTGCCCCGTTTCTGTGGGCCCACGTATGTCCTCCTCCATCGCACTCCCGGGCCTTCCCCGAACCCCAAAAACTGCGGCGCGTTAACGTGGAAGGCCCGCGGCCCATGTATGGGCCAAGTAATGGTGGTTTTATTCCAACTCACATCGCCTTTGTTATTAACCAAAGTGACTTAACCCAACCCCACTCATGACGGTTTACCAATTGCGCATCATATGCCCACAAAAATATCCTGCACCTTTTTTTTTTTTTTTTTTTTTTTTCCCTGCACTATTGTCGCCAGCCTGAGGKGGGTTTWTTTTTAGGCCTTGGGATGGATCACTGTAAGCAGTGCATACACTGTACAGTGCTCTTCAAACGCTTGCCCTTTTTTTTTTCTTTTTTTTTTGAATCCTGCACATTTGTCGCCAGCCTGAGGTGGGTTTATTTTTAGGCCTTGGGATGTATCACTGTAAGCAGTGTATAAACTGTATAGTGCTCTTGAAACGCTTGCCCATCATTACTCCTGCAACAGAACAAAACAGTCCACAGACTCCACATCCTTGGAGAGGGAAAAAAAAAAAAAAAAAAACAGTCCGCGCTCTTTACGGTGCACAACCATTATGCAGCGAATCGTCCTCAAGAAAAGCGCTTGATTAATATTACATATAGTGCAACAAACCTGGTCCTCTCCGAATTTGCCGCTGCCTCGATTCCCGCCACACCCACACAAGGACTTCCCAGGATGTATCTGGTCCCTTATACAGCAGGGCGTGGATGGACATGGATGCACCGGAGCGCAATGATTTACGTCGACAGACAGATAAGTTGGAATATAACAAAGTCCTAGTGACCGACGGGCCTACTACCGGTAGCTCAGTTAGTACACCGATGAGCTGTTGAAACACAGACCCCAGTCCAAATCCGGATGGAAAAAAAAAGAAAAAAAAACGAAAAAAAAAAGAGTTCCTCAAGCCCAACCAACGGGCTTTAACTCAGTTGGTAGTACTTGGTACACCCATAAACTACTGAAACACAGACGCGAGTTCGAATCCAGAATGAACTAGATGAATGAGATGGAAAGTCTTAAGAGTCCTTTTAAAAAGAACAAGAGATATTTTTTTGAGTCGCGTAGGAAGGAATGTTACAGTACTGGATCCTTTCAAGGGACGCTGGACCCGTTTTCCAGCAGGTGATGCTCCCCACTAATAGATGGAGCCTCTCCCCAGCTGTTAGTGGTGTCTGCTCTTACCAGCAGCAGCACTAACACTGGTGGAATGTTACAGTACTGGATCCAAACACAATCCAACTTTGACCAAAGGAAAGTTGAACATAGTCTGGCCTGGCCTTGCACTCGTCTTTACGCTTTACACTCGTCTTTCCGCTCGACACCTGCACCCAATGGAGAATTTGGTGCCTCTGTTTAGTTACCTGCGGAGCACCAAATTGAATCCTCCCCCCTCCCTCCCTCCCCCCACAAAGTTAGCAACCCCCCCTAAGACTTGAATCAGATGCAAAATATGGACCCTGCCCTCGCAATCCTCGACGACCAGCCTGACGTTCAAACCCCAAGTGAAGAATGGCAAGTCAGCCTGGGAACCTCACCCTCAGAAATGGCTATAGTCAGTTCCATTCCCAGTCCGAGTCCCATTCCCATTCCCAGTCCAAGTCCCTGTCCCAGTCCCAGTCCCAGTCCCAGTCCCAGTCCCAGTCCTAGGAACCGTAAACGGAGAATGGCAGCCTGTAGTGATTCCCTGTCCTAGGATGTATACGGGAGGTAAAGATGGGTCTACCCTCCGAATCCATGCCGCAACTAGATGGTATCGCTCTGCACTTCCGTCCTGCATGCAGCTAGACGCCCCCTGGCCGGTATATTGGGTCACTGACAGATGGCAATCAGCACAAAAACGCATAGTACTGCCGTCTTCGACCAAACACAACGCACCCTCATTTCGGTTGCATGTGACCGGAAAGATGGCTTGTGTACAGTCGTTATCAGGGTGCGCGTTGTGTTCGGAGGAGGAAGACGGTTGAGGCGATAACAGCAATTTCGTCAAAACGGACTTTTAAAAAGAAAAAATGAACTAAATTGAAACCAACCAAATTGGTCCGATTCAGCTCACATTTGTAGCTTTTGAGGGTCCGGCATGCATTCTTAAAATGCCGGCCGGACCCCTTGGATGTACCTGGACTTGGCTGGAGTCCAGGGAGTCCGGCAATTTAAGAACGCCGGATCCCCTCAATGTATCTGGATTCTGGACTTAGCTGCAGTTCAGGGGGTACGGCGGTTTAAGAACGCCAGATGGAACCTCAATTTCGTCGAAATTTCAACCTGAATCGCGCTGAATCGGGCCAAATTTAGTCGGTTTCGGTTTCAATTTCCTTCAGAAAATTATTAAAAAATGACGTTGTCCATTTTGACGAAATTGCAGTTTGATAATCATGCTCATGCAGGACTGACTGGGGGTGATTACAAAGCCTCACCTCAGCTCTGGTCGCAGGTAAATGGCAGACTTTGGGTACTTTGAATCCAGCCAATCTCTGCACAACCTGGGTGGGTCATCCACACTGCCGGGTACACTGGAAAAAAAAAACCGCCGCATGGGACGCCTTCAAAGACTACAGGATACTCTCCTCGATAGCCGAGGTATCGCTCTAGCTTGTCAGCAAACGTTAGCGTTCTCTTCGTGACGTCCAGTATTACGAACACGGTTACTTTTGTATCACAAGGGGTACTAGCAAATGTGCGAATCCCGGATGAAGACAGAAATGACGGCGACAATGTGCTCCTGAGGTAACCTGATGGTACCGTTTCAAAAAAGTATTCTTTTTCCATCGGGCACAAGAAAAAGCTCTTCTTACGGCCACGGATTGATGGTCCAGCACAGGCAACACCGACACCAAAATCCTTGCAGTACGCCAGTGATCTGACCATCCAGATGTGCTTCCCACTTCGAAGAGGCAGATTCATCTGGATAGTTTTCGAAACTCCTCGACATGTGCATCGCACTTGCTGCGGTAGCTCCTTGGAAACGATGAAATCTGGTGGATAATACACCCAGAAAGCCGGAATCGAGACCTGCGAGTAAATCTTCTGGATTCCATCTTGGCCGGGTTTTACGGGCGCAAATGACACCCTGTGATGCAGAGACCGCCAGGGTATTGAGAGAGTAGAGTGGGTGGACATTCCTCTTGAGAAGCAGATGGCATGCACACCGTAGACGGCGGCAAGAACCTCCGGCCGCAAGATTCCCAAAGGTTCGATCCTTTCCTTCAAAAATGCCGGATCGACGAATGCGAGGTTGACGTGACATTCCAGTACTTCCCGCAAGTCCTTTCTCGACAACGACGAGCTTCGTACCCCTGAATCACAGTTTTTCAGTGTTCTCTCGCCGTCCGAACAACAAACTACATTTTGTGCGTCGGATGCAACGGTGTCCGCGGACTCCTTTGCAGCGCGGGAATCGTTCACATCGGATGTGACGTCAGCACTCCGGGACCCTTCCTGCGCTTCGGTACTGCGGTTGTCGAACGCAGCAGAGAGAACCTTTGCAGCGAGGGAATCGTTCACATCGGATGCGACGTGAGCACTCTGGGACCCTTCCTGTGCAACGGTGTCCGCGGACTCCTTTGCAGTGAGGGGATCGTTCACATCGGATGCGACGTCAGCACTCCGGGACCCTTCCTGAGCTTCGGTACTGCGGTTGTCGAAAGCAGCAGAGAGAACGGCCTCGGCGACCATCGTCTCGGTAACCTGTGGATGGAATCTCACCTTCTCGAGGCAGAAGATGATGCTCTCCTTACTCCACCCCTTGAACGACGTCGAGTCAAAGGCGAACAGCTTGTTCATTTCTGTCAAAGCAACGTTCTGCACCCGGATTGGGTGCCTCGGGATTGCCGTGTTTAGCAGATCGCTGAGTTCGTGTGCATTCCCGGCCCGGCGCATCATGCATAAGATCTTCGGAAGCAGGCTATCGACCTGATACTGAGATGCCAAACAGTACGCTTCGACCAGATCACCCCAGCGACCATTGGTGTCCCATTGGAACGGGTGACCGTGCAGGTACCTGACCACAATCTGCAGACTGTCTGCCTTTGCACTAGGAAGAGGAATCCTGTCCATCGACCGATCCTTCATATCCCCATAAAGCAACTTCGAAAAGTACTCGCTTCCGCTCGCCAATATCGCTCGATTTGCACGCACCTCTCGCCCATCCTCGCACACAAAGGCCACATCGAGCAATTCCGGACGACCAAGGATCGTACGCATCGCTGACAAAACCTCTTGCTCATGCTCTGCATTATCCTCCATCTCGAGCACATTCTCTGCACTGCCCCCCTCGTTGTCACTCTTCCTTCTCTTCTTAGCAGGACTACCTCCTCCTTGATGTGCCATAATTCTCTCCCGAATCGGGTCCCCAAGTCCCACTAGCAGCGTTGAGCTACCTCAACGCCTGAATCTGGACGTGTTTGTGCAGACGTGCAGTTCAGGAAACTCAACACCATTTCTCAACATCTCCACAAAAGCGTCCAGATTCGGGTGTTGAGGTAGCTCATCGCTGCTAGTGGGACTTGCCCCCTGAGGTTGACTCTGACGCCCGTCACCTTTCAGGGGCCCAGCCTTTCAAAATAACCTTGCCAGTTATTACCCCGCAGCCGTGGAAAAAAAAACGAGGCTCGGAGGAACTGCCGGACCAGGTGGCACTGCTCTAGGGAAGCTATTGTGCATAAGCTGGATCGCTCGTAGGGCCCGCGATAGATGTCGTTATCCTAAGTTGCATTCAACCTAAGGAAAAACACAACACAATTTCGATCAAGCTGCAGCAGAATTTGAACTCGTGACCTGTTTGCTGACATTTACAATGTCGCATGTATCAGGGATTTACATGTGTCTAGATCTATAGAACTCCATAACTGTTTGTCCGGTATCATTCCACTGTGCCCTGAAGCGGTCTCTACAAGTTGAACCACAAATGTGAAAACGTTTCCACATTAAATTTGTGGTTCCCAGATCATGTGTTTGTTACCGTCTGAGCCGAAACAACGTGGCGGGAGCCGCTACGCTCGGGAGCATGGCATTCTTGCACAGAAACTGGATATCCATGCTTCGGACCTGAGCCGCCCGCCCCCACGATTCAGCTCAGAGAATGAAGCAGTCGTCTTCCCACGAATAGAACGCGCACTGTCAGTCATTTTTGCTGCATCTGGACTGGAAGTTGGCCCAAATACACCTGAAATGACCACAGGTTCTATTCGGGAAGAAGACAGTACCTGTGGCATACTGTGTAGCCACACGGGCCTGCAGGGCCCGTTCGCATTCTCAGCCTAAAAGCCTAGAAATAAGGGCTTACAGGCCCCCTGTCGTTTCAGCCTGAAAACTGAAAACGAGGGCCTGCAGGCCCGTTTTTTGTTTTCAGCCTATAACAGGGCCGTTCAGGCCCTGAGTCTTTTCAGCCTGAAACGGAGGGCCACTTTCGGGCCCTCATAAAATCGTCCTGCCCTAGAACTCAGGCAACAAACCAGGGTTTTGGGAACAGGCTATTTTTGGCCTGTTCCCCACGCCAGCCTCAACAGGAGCTGCAGCACCAGTCCCTGGCTTGCCCTGGCATTGGCAAGAGCAGCCTCCTGGACTGCCTCGCCCTGCAGCTGCAGGCAGTCAGGAGGCAGGCCGAGTAGTACATAGGGAGTTCCCATGCACTTCACGGGTAGGTAGTTGGACAGAAGGCAGGAGGCAGTCTTCAGGATTCGGCAGCAGCACTCTGGAGGAGCGCTGCAGGAGTAGCTTAGCGCTAGCAATAGTCTTCAGCGCTGGGTGCTAGTAGCTGCAGGAGTAGTCTTCAGCGCAGGGCACTAAGTAGTGGTGGTGGTAGTAGTGTTGGAGGGAGATGGCTGGCGGAGGCCAGTGAGACTTACCTGTGGCGCCATAGCTCCAGCTCCATCTTCGAGGTACCTGCATCAAGGCGCCAGCTTCACAGGTTAGTACCGGAGAGAGAGAGAGAGAGAGAGAGAGAGAGAGAGAG